TTGTAATGTTAATCCACATAAGAATAATGTTAGAAGGCTAAAAATTTGAATCAAACTAGTATCTCCAATGCACCAATTTGATAAGAATTTATTTGTGTAGGTGGACCAATTATAATAATTCATTAATACAAGAATAATAAAAAATTAAACCAAATATAAAGTGAATTAATGTGTCATCATGTTTAACATGGTGTTAGATATTAGAAAGTGAGTTCAACATTGTTAACATTAAATGTCATCCACATCATCATGAAAGAGCTAATGACAAGATGCATTGGAGAATAAATTAGTAATAAACTTTCAAAAGTTGATGATATGGATAATTTTTTGCAATGTCAAAAGTCACATTGGAGATGCTCTTAGAAAGTTATAATTGTAAGGGTAAATTTGTAATTGACATGCCATTGTCAAAGTCATTGTACAAATCCCATTGTACAAATAGCATTTTCCAAGCAGTACCACTACCGTGCCCTGGCACCCCTAGCTAGGTGTGCCAGGGCAGTATTACACGCGCCCCTCACTCTCAAAAAGCTAGAAAATTTAGAAGGTGTAGTGCACTCTCCCAATTTTCTTTTTTAATGAAAAAATCAGACATATTACATAAATTAAAATATCATTAATTATTTATATTAAAAAAATAAAATAAAAATACCAAAATTCATAATTTTTCATTATCTATAAATAGAGACCACATTTGATAAGTTTTTGAACACAACTAATTTTCGTTTTTTGGTAACATGTTCACCTTATTGTGTATGTAACATGTTCATTTTATTCTATAACATGTTCATTTTATTATGTAACATGTTCATCTTATTCTATAACATGTTCATTTTATTATGTAAAATGTTTATTTTATTCTATAACATGTTCATCTAATTTTCATCTGTGAAAATGTAACATTTTCATCTTATTAGAGAGGATTTAGGTTTGTGAAGGTGGAGGATATTCGATCGAAAGACTAATTTATGAAATTTCTTTTACATTCTACTAGTTTTTCACTTTCATTCCCTATAGTATGATTATTGCATAAAGTTGAGTTCTTATATGTAGATTATGGTTTATTATTTCAGGGCGGGGTGCTTGCATTAAACGAGTGAAAGTCGAGCAAGAAATTGACCAGAATTTTGTGTATGAAGTGGAAATTGGAGAAAATAATGTGAGAGCCCGTGATGTAGATATGGAATCTAAACATGTTCATCTTATTCTATAACATGTTTATTTTATTATGTAACATGTTCATCTTATTCTATAACATGTTCATTTTATTATGTAACATGTTCATCTTATCCTATAACATGTTCATTTTATTATGTAACATGTTCATCTTATTTTATAACATGTTCATCTAAATTTCATATGTGAAAAATGTAACATTTTCATCTTATTAGAGAGGATTTTAGTTTGTGAAGGTGGAGGATATTCGATCGAAAGACTAATTTATGGAATTTCTTTTACATTCTACTAGTTTTTCACTTTCATTCCCTATAGTATGACTATTGCATAAATTTGAGTTCTTATCTGTAGATTATGGTTTATTATTTCAGGGCGGAGATGCTTGCATTAAACGAGTGAAAGTCGAGCAAGAAATTGACCAGAATTTTATATATGAAGTGGAAATTGGAGAAAATAATGTGAGAGCCCGTGATGTAGATATGGAATCTAAACATGTTCATCTTATTCTATAACATGTTCATTTTATTATGTAACATGTTCATCTAAATTTCATCTCTGAAAAATGTAACATTTTCATCTTATTCTATGACATGTTCATCTTACTCTATAACATGTTAATCTTACTATGTAACATATTTATTTAATTATATATTTGCGTCATAATCTTCCAATAAGATAAATTAATTGTAAAAAATGATAAATTAATTGTGTTCTAATGTTCATGTGTTCATCTTACTATATAACATGTTCATATGTTCATCTTATTGTGTAAATATGTAACATGTTCATCTTATTATGTAACATGTTCATCTTATTGTATAAAATGTTCATCTAAATTCCATCTGTAAAATTATAACATTTTCATCTTATTCTATAACATGTTCATTTTACTATATAACATGCGCATCTTAGTATGTAACATGTTCATCTTATTATATATTTGTGTCATCACCTTTCAAAAAGATAATTTAATTATAAAAAATGATAAATTAATTGTGTTCCAAAACTTATCAAATGTGCTCTCTATTTGTAGAGATTGAAAAATTATGAATTTTGGTATTTTTATTTTTATTTTTTAATATAAAATGTGAATAATAATTTCATTTATATAATATGATATGTAAAATTTATTATCCAATATATATTGTACACTTGTCTTTTTTAAACAAAAAAAAAACTTGCATACCTTATTACCTTACCTCACGCGATTTTAAGAGAGAGTGCATTTCACACATGCCCTGGCACACCTAAGTATTTGCGTTTTCCAAGTGTTGAATAGTTGATTCACACAACAATATAAATAAAAATATGACATTTAATAATATAAGTATATATTTATTTTATTCACATCGTATGTGATACACGTTTATCTTCACAATTTGTACAAAATCAATTAAAAATGGAAGCAAGAATCAAAATCAATTAATTACACCAACCAATTGACAATTGGACTTTGCACATCAAAACAGAAATTCCAAAAAAAAAATTAAAAAAAACATGACCCGCCGTACCCACGTCATCCCAGCGCCGCGAACCCGCCGCACTTCATCATCTGCCGAAACTCGTCGAAGTTGACCCTACCGTCGCCGTCTAGGTCTACTCTGACGATCATCCTCCGGCAGTCCTCCGGAGTCCTCCCCTGCTTCAGCCCTAGCGATGCCAGAACAGACCTCAGCTCCTCCGCCGTGATGAACCCGTCTCCGTCCTGGTCGAACACTCTGAACGCCTCCCGCACGTCGTCTTCCCCGCCGTCCCCCTCGTCTCCGCCGCCGTCGGCCATCACCGCCGCGTACAGGGCGCCGAACTCCTCGGCGTTCACCTGGCCGTCCCCGTCGGCGTCCACCTTCCCGATCATCGCACGCAACTCCTCCTCCGGGACGCGGATCCCGAGATTCTCCAGCGACTCTCCGAGCTCCTCCCGGCTGATCTTGCCGTCGCCGTTCCGATCGAGCATGGAGAAGATCCGGCGGAGCTCCGGCGTGCCCATTTCTTCATGTGGAACCCTAATTGGTCAGCGAGATCTTGTTTGGATCTGATTTTGATCGTCGATTCAAGTTTTAACCCAATAATTTTGGGAGATATTTGATTAATCGATAATCGGTGATTAATTTGCATAAAAATGGAGTGATTTGATGAAATCTGCGCAGGGAAAATGAGATTATTGGGATTTGAATGATGAAAAAAATTGGTTTAAATTTGGGGAATTTTTTTTCGTTGAAGGCTGAGAAAAAAGATGCGGGAACAGTGGGCAGCCTGTTATNGCATCCAGCTTTGGTCTCTTGACAATATCACATGCCATGTAAGAAATAGACTTAATCTATAAAAAAATACTTCTGAATGCAATTAAAAGTGGACATGGTCTAGTTTATGTGGCAATAAAAAAAAGAGACTAAGTTCACACTTGGGTCTATTTTGGACCCAAGTACAAACCCAAACACTAATCAATTTTTCTTACTTTAATTTTTCTTTTAATAAAAAAACATATTAGATCATTTTTATTGGTTGATATATATGCTAGACCTAGTATTTTTATTTTTGCATTGCAAAGTTATTGAAGTTTTTTACTTGAGTTTGTCCACATCATTTAAGACTCAAATCCAATTATATGCCACATATACAAAAAGAGACTCAAAGCTCTGATGATGTTTTTAGTTTTCACCAACGAAAAAAACGAAGGCTGGGGAAATTTATTTATTTCAAAGGTTATTAGTGAGATTGAAAATTTCGTCGGCTTTATTGAGTTTTTTGCTATTTATATAATTTATTTATAATTGACAAATTGACAAATGCACGTAAAGACATTTTATCGATGGAGCTGTTATTCACACATAGATGTTTGCGAACACCATTAAATTGACTCGTTAAAATGTTAACTTGATTATTTTTTTACTTAACAAACTGAGCTTGACGAGCTGACTTGAATAGCTACTCGAGCTTGTTTAATAAACAAACAAAGTTAGACATGTTCGCTACAACTCATTTTATTCATATTCTTTTTTTTTTTTGGTTCTAATTTTTTATGGGTTTTAAATAAAATAATGAAGCACAACTTATTCGCTGATAACTCGTTTAAAGTTTTATATTTATTGAAAGAACTGTGATAAATTTTAAAAGCTTAATCTAGTTGAACTTGAGTCGAGTCAAGCCAAATCGAATTGGCTCGTTTATTAAACAAGCACCAAACTCAAACATAAGCTACTCAACTCAGCTCGACTCAAATAATACCTAAATAGTTGGCTATAGAGTTGGGATAAGGAATTTTGCGTGTGCGAGAGTATTGAGTATTGAAGTCACAATGGGCTTAAAGTCTTGGCGGCCCGAACTATCTCGGGCCCTTTTTTTAATTTGACAATGAACTGAATTTTACCCTTTCTATGGTATAATTTGTTCATTCACATTCACTTCTGAAGTATTTTGACACAGTGCAGGATAACACGAATGATGAATTTCTATTGAATAGAAATTCATCATATATGAGTTATAACTTGTCAATTTCAACTAAAACCGTATAACTAAACACATTAATTTATTATGAGATACTCATTGATAATTTTGTTCGTGTGTTAGCTCATGTACTTTTATTAGCACATTATTTTTGATCTCCTTTTATCAGTTGTAGCTCATGAATAGATTGTGATTAAAAAACATAATTTTTAAAAAATTTCAGTATGTAATTTGTAAATAAGTCAAGTCAAGCTAAAACTTGTGTTATATAATCTTCTTCTCAAACCTTTATCGAGTCGAACGTGACTTAGTTAACTAAATAAGTTGATAAATGATCTCAATCTTAGCTGTCTATCATATTAATGAACTGAATTCAAATATTACCAAGTCGAACTCGAGTCAAGCTAGGATGAATCACATAATAAATATCATATTTTAAAACTGAGNTTTTAACTGAGCTCGTTAACTTTGTCCATTGCAAGTAGAGCTGGAAGAGTCCTTGTTGACAATTCTCCTGACATAGTGCTAATAATGGACTAGATCAAAATGGCTCAATTAAATTCTAGTGCTTCTTCTATTAGTGAAGTTTCTAAAAAAAAATATATATATCAAACGGCGTAATGCACTTTGGGTCGCTACGGAAACAGCCTCTTTGTATAATTACAAGGGTAAGGTGCGCGTACAACTGACCCCCCAGACCCCAACCTGTTGGGAATATACTGAGTATGTTGTTGTTGTTGTTGTAACTAGCTCGTTAACTAAAGGAGTTAGTCCATAGTCCATACTGAATATTTTTACCTTGTAATAATTGTACGTGTCATTCCACGGGCATTTTGTAAATAATATAATTTTTGGGGCTAAAACAGAATCTCTCTCATAGTTTGGGGTTCTCATGACATATTCCGAAAATTGAAGTACAGCATCAAAACCAGTGGAGCAATTTACATCTGATCTGAAAAGCTCCACTCCAAACCCTCGAAAGCAAAAATGGGGATCTTCACGCTCCAGAAGCTCGCCTCCCAAATTACCAAAACACCCTCGCTCTCCCTCTCCTCGCGCGCCGTGGTCGCCCGCTACTGCGCCTCCGTCGCGCCGTCGTCCCGGTCGGCGAAGGTCGCCGATCGAATCGTGAAGCTGCTGGCGATCGACCCGGACGGCAACCGGAAGGAGGTGGTGGGGCTCTCGGGCCAAACCCTTCTGAAGGCGCTGACCAACAAGGGCCTGATAGATCCTGCCTCGCACAGGCTCGAGGAGATCGACGCCTGCTCGGCCGAGTGTGAGGTCCACATCGCCCAGGAGTGGCTGGACAAGCTGCCTCCGCCTTCGTACGACGAGCAGTACGTGCTGAGGAAGAATTCTAGGAATCGGGAGATGAACAAGCACGCGAGGCTCGGGTGCCAGGTTGTTCTGTCGCAGGAATTGCAGGGTATGGTGGTCGCGGTCCCTGAGCCGAAGCCATGGGATACTCCGTGAGGTTTTCCTCCTTTATTTTCCCATAATTTGATCGTGACTTGGCTGTTGTAAGGCTTTTTTTATTTTCGTTTATGCATTTGAATAATTTGGAATGAGACTGAGGATAATTTGCCATGATGATGGAACTCGTGGGGTGCTAGATTTAATTGTTGTTTCTTGAATTATTACCTTCTCAATGGGATTTGAAGACGAGACATTTTCACATAATCTGTGTGTATGCATTAGAATTAGATATGTATGGCAATTGGTTTCATACATTCAACAAGATTATTGTTTCTTACTATGTACTCTTCTCAGTGAGATTTGAAGATGAGACCTTTTCACACCATCTTTGGGTATGGATTAAAAACAGATGGGCAGGGTTTTTTGTATATTCAACAAAATGCGATATTATTTTTTGATTGACATGGAAGCTATTATTATTTGTTTTATTCCCCCTAGCCTGACTTGCCAATGTTATTGGTTTGAGATTATATTCTTGTACATTCTCTGTGATGTTTGTTATGAGAAGTTGTAGATAATAGAATTGGAGCAAAGAGTGGTTTGGTGTTTTGGTGTTTCAGCTGCCGTAAGTACTAGTTATGGAGTTTGTATTTATCTTAAGTCACTTGGTCAACTAGTGGTTCTGTTATTCCTTATATTCGAGCTTCTGAGTCTTGGAATGTCATCAATGGAATTGGTTTGACTTGTGGGATCAACAAGAAAAATGAAAACCTGTTGCAGAATTAAAAAATAATGTGTTGCACTTATTGTTTGGTTTGTATTCCGTAACAAATTCCATGGGATCAGAGCTCCTTAGATGGTTATAATTTCTGCTGTTTATTAATTCTCTCAAGTTAGGCATTGAAGTGGAATACAGAAGATTGAGAGTACCAATTACCAAAGGTCAGATTTTTCATACTTTTCATTCCATGAAATGACTGGCCTCGGACATGGCCGGCTCCAGAGGGGAGGCACCATAGGCCCATGCCTAGGGCCTCTAATTTTTAGGGGCCTTAATTTTTGTTTTAATGTTTTATATATTTGTGTTTGATTTTGTTTATTTACAGAAATAAAGGGGCTAATGACTAAATATGAACTTGACTCATTACACACATCAAGAGGCTAATTAATGAAAGAGCCAATAGCAAAATATATATTTTGTGTAAGAATTTGAGGCCCTAAATATTTTATTTGTTTTCTTATTATGTTCGGTCAGAACAAGTTGTGTGAGAATATAAATATTCTTTGTTGTAATATGATATTTATTTTCTCCTCCTTGTTGTCTTCGTGACTGCTTGAATGCAATTTATAACTTATTAAAGGTAATTTTTTCAAAGTCTAGAAAAACAAGAAAATCGCTTTTTTTACAATTATTTATTTATTTAATAACCTTGTTTAATTAGATTTTTTTCTTGTATGATTCTATCTACAAATAGCCTTACCACGCAAGTTCAAATCGAAAAATTCGAAAACGTAAAATTTGCCTGGGGCCTCCAAATTTCTGGAGACGGCTCTGAGTGCTCGGGAAAAGCAGTAACGTCAAGGTCTGGGCTCAAAACTGGAATCCAAATTTAGTGTGGTTTTTCTGTAGCAAGAGTTGTTTATTTTTAGTCGATTGGCCCATAGTTGCAAGTTGACCATTATAGGGAAGTTTTTCATTTGCTCGATACTCAAAACATTAGCCTTACCTTACTGTGAGGCCACTTAGAGGAATAGCCGAATTGGTACTCTGGATTTTGGGTTACTTGTGTGGTTCAGTTTTTGTTTGACGATGCACACCTTTCGATTAGGCTCGAAATATTTGTTTGTTTCTCTGCTTCTCTGTTTTTCTTCCTAAATCCTGAGACTATTTTATGTATACTAAATCGGTGAATGTCTGGTTTCACCAATGTAGTTCTATATTTACATTTGAATTTGCGTTTTTCGAATTTTCGGATGCTGTAGGTGCATGTCTGGTTTCACCAACGTAGTTCTTCTATATTTACATTTGAATTTGCGGTTTTCGAATTTTCGGATGCTATAGGTGAATGACTGGTTTCACCAACGTAGTTCTATATTTACATTTGAGTTTGCGGTTTTCGAATTTTTGGATGCTAAGGTAACATTATGGCCATCGTAGAGTGTTGTTTGTTTCGGCACGTTTGGTCATATGTGCTCCTCCTGCTCCTGATGTATGAAAGTTTCAAGTTCAGTTGTCAATTCTTAGTGGTACAGAAACAAATACTGCTAGGACGAAGAAGAATTTTGTGTGGTCATTTGTGCTCGTGATATGCAAGTTTAAAGTCTCAAATATGCTGAGTCCAGGAAAAGAAAAGAAAAGAAAAGAAAAGAAAAGAAAAGAGAGAAAAAAAAAAAAAAAACTACTGCAAATGTCTTATTAGGCTATGCTTTGGGAAACCTAGCTGAACAACTAACTTATGGCTTATGAATTAGTTGATTGTGTATAAGTGAATTTCGAGCTTTTAGTGGAGCTTGTCTTGACGATTAAGGATAATTACAAGTGCCATAGGTGACAAGGTGTTTAGAATTCTCATTTTATGATTTCATCGTCATATCACCCACACTTTATTGTGAAGATGGGATGAGTATAATGAGCGAATGCAGTCCACATGTTTTCTGTATGTGCATGCATTAAGTTAAAGATCGTCGAGATGTTAATCATTCATTCAACTTTTGAGCGTTGAGTTTGGTAAAACAGTGATTGTCCTAGGTGATGAAGTTTTGGGTTTTCATATGAACAAAACATGGCTGACAAAATTTAAGTAGAATGAATAATCTCATTTCTAGTACGAAAAACCAATGGATAAAGACTTATTATTCGTATAATGCAAGCCCTTCGTCCTTTTCGTTTTTCATCAGCAAAGAGGTCTCTTTTCGAGTTGCTTGCGTGTGGATTGCTTCGGTTGAGTAGTGGCCAAAAGCTTATACAAACTTAATTGCTATATGCATGTATGGTTGTGTTTGGTAAGCATATATAAGCTAGATTAGTTGGTTAGCTTATAATCTTTATGTATTTAATAAGTTTGGTTTGACTGGAGGAGTTTCTTTTTAAAAACTCGAGTTTATTTCATAAGCTTTCTTGAATACCTTTTCAAATAAGCACCCTGAATTTTTTGAAGTAGCCAATTTTACGAAATACTTTTATTATATGAGCTAGTTTTTCAGTCATAGATCATAAGTTATCAGCTATAAGCTTGGAATTCACTTAAAAACTAAGATAGCTTATTAACTAGGTTTACCGAACACAACCTATATATGTCAACAAACGATGCGTATTATTAGCATGGCTAATAGAACAAGTTGTTTGGGATAGTGTTGTTTTCAATGTATGCATGCATATGCAGAGAACTCAGTGATGTGTTTAGTGAATAAAGATAAATTCATCACTATCTTATAATAACAATTATATGAGTCTTAATCTTCTTTCAATCTATAACTAATCTACACTTTTTCAAGCCCATCTACCCTAATGATGTATCTTTTCAATCACTCTTAAGCTTCAAGTCACGCCCCTTTAACTAAGTATTTATTTCTTTTTTTTGTTTTGTTTTTTTTTTTTC